GAAGCTTTAATGCTTTCGAGTTCAAAACCGTGGGCTGGAGAGTGTTCTCTTGGGTGAGTCGCGCGCTCGAGCTGCATGCTGATCGGAGTTCGTGATGGAGTATCGAGGTTAATAATTCGATGTTGGACGGCTGGGCGTCCATGTTCTTCAGCAAGAGACGGGGATGAGTTTGCCCCAGGGTGCTGCGAGCTCGCAAGTCGGGATGAGTCGAGCTGTTCTTGTATGATGGTCTGAGCCGTTGTGAGGGAGTCCAGACGGGCGTTTGTTTGACGAACCATGTCGTCTTGTTGGTCAAAGCATCTCATGAGGGTTCCCAGGATACGAACGAGATCAATCTGATCGTCCGTATTTGTTGCTTCAGGGCCGCGAGCTGTGGCGTTCGTTTCTTCATTTCTTGCGGTCTGAGTGATGACCAGGTTGGACTCCATTGTGTTCGGTGGAGTTTCGCGAGCTGCCTCCGAGATTTCCTGATTCGACGTTTCTCCGGGTTGTTGACTTATGGACACGTGCGGACTCATATTTTTTTGCGTTAGAAAATCTCTAAGCCCCCTACCTAGCGCGCCAATTGTTGATTCAAATAAGTCGACAATGAATTTATAATATATCTGAGGTCGGAGACTCTCGTGTATAGAAAGTTAAGTCGAAGGGGTGTAAATACAAGTAGATCGCTAAAGATAGTCCGGACAGATCCTGTGCTATTAGTTCGCTAGTTAAGAGATCGTGGCAGATCGGACAGACCCCGAACTGCTAGACTTTGGGTAAGGAGTAGGATTTAGAGAGCTTGGCGAGTGGCTGGAGTGTTCCTTTTTTTGGAGTTTTCGAATGGTCTCTTACACCATCCTTTGACCTCTATTTATAGTGAAGGACGGTGGGTTTAACCTGGGTTCAGCTGACCATAGTTGATCTGATATACCCCTGTTTTGACCAAGCTCAGTTCGGGTATTCCTTAGGTGTGATCAGATCGCGGTTAACGGTTGGAGCGGGCCTCTGGCAGCCCGCTGAGCCTCTACTTCTTTTGGCGATCCGGGACTTGTGGTTTGTTCAGAATGTTGGGCCGCAGGTCCGAGCCCAACAACAATTGTTTGGTTTTTCCGTCTAAAAATCGGGCCTTATAATTCGGGCTTTCTTGTCAAGGTCCAGTGGCACGTCCTATAATTATTCAAAAAGCTATAATTATTTCTTGTTTTTCTTCAGAATTACCGAGTGTGAGAGTGGTTCGTCTTCCAATGCTATTTAACCTCCATATCTAAAAATCCAATCTTCCTTGCGAAGATTAAACTCGAGTGGTATGAACATGACTACTTTTTTGGTTTCTAATTTTTTTTTCTTGCTTGGTTGATCTGCTTATGTTATCCTTTTTTGGTTTCCTCTGAGATTATAACTATCGCTGTTTCTGCTATCATTTGATGTCGAGGTTTTTAGGGTTTCAGTGTCATTGTTTGATATTGAGCTTTCTTAGAGTCACTTAATCAGACACATGAGTTTTTAATCCCAAAGTTTTGACCTTTTTCTTATGCAGGTTTGTTGTGCTCATGGATGAAAAAGAGGTTACGGTGTTGTGTTACTGGAATGGTTGTATTAAGCAGGGTCCTGATGGTGTATACTATGAAGGATCGACTCTTAAAAAGATCAGCGTTTAGCAAAACACTGACTTTAGCAGATTTCTTGGTGGGCTTCATCTAATTACTGGATTAGAAAAGCAGAGATCAAAGTTTGATATAATCGGTAGGTACCCTTCCGTTGTTCAAAAAGCTTGAGTAAAGTTGTCAGGTCTGGTGTTTCAGAACCGTGTCTTGTGTCTAGTTTGTGGCTTGACGATGATACAGTGCGTGTTGTATTGTGTTTTAAAGATAGAGATGAGCTGAAGATGGCAGTGGATTGGTGGTCCATTAAAAGGCGACAAAAGTGTACACTAAGAGCGACCGAGAAGGACGTGTATACATTTGAGTGCGGTAGATGGAAATGCAAGTGGTCACTATGGGCAGCTAAAATGAAAGAACACGGACTTGTTGAGGTAACCAAATACACAGGCCCACATACTTGTCGCCCTTATAACAGAGAACATACCGATTACGAAGAAGAGTTTATTGATGATCTAGAACGTGTTAATGCGGATTTTGTAGCATATGAGATAGAACGTGTTAATGCGGTACATCCCACACTCTCATTTGCAGAGTTGAAGAAGTGGTGGAAAGGACAATTTGGCAATAAGCTTGTGGTGTATGATGAGGAAGGGGAGGCGCATGATACGAAAAGACTGATGCAGGATGCTAAAAAGAAAGCTATCAAAGGAGTCTTTGGAGGTTGGGATCGGAGTTTCAGATCCGTACCTAAGTTAATGTTTGCACTTCACTCTTCTAATGGGCTGCTCGTGGACTCGCAATTTGATTCTTTTCTAAATCCCGAATCTGCGTCCTTTCGCAGTGTGTTTTGGGCGTTTCCACAGTCTATTGAAGGGTTTCAACATTGTAGATCTCTGATTCTAGTTGACACAAAAAGCTTGGGTAAGTGCAGTATGAAACTGATGATTGCCCCGGGGGTAGATGCAGCAAACAAATATTTTTCGCTTGCCTTTGGGGTTACTAAACAAGTATCCACTGATAGTTGGCGTTGGTTTCTCAGTGGAATCAGAGAAAAGGTTACACAAAGGCAAGATGTAACGCCCCCGACCCGGATTAGGTTAACGCTGACCCGACTGGCCGCACAACAATCAAACGAGAACATGCGCAACCAATGGTAGACCCAAATACGAGACCGAAGACGCTATAAATGCGCACTTAGCCGCTTATTACAAGGTTCGAAAAAACACATTTCAGAGCCCTAGAATATACGTCCAAGCACGCAGTTCCTATCGATCACAACCCAAGGCTTTTCAACCTGAGTTATGAGCGATAGTTGGTTCGTCCTGGACTAGGACTAGTATCATATGAAAACCGAGTTATTTAAAAACATACTCTTATATATCTTTTTACATAGGTTTCAAATGATATCACAAATATACACGGGCCCGATTCTAATGCTCAAAACATTCGTATACATATTAAGTGTTAATGTTTTACAAAAGCAAGACAATCTACCACTGATTTTCCTAATGTTCCTTCTGTGCACCCAAGTGATCTAACCACTAAGGTTACCTGCAAAACAAATTGGAGTCGTGAGCACTAGTTGCCCATTGAGTCTAGGGTTCCCCAAAACGTTTAATAATCGTTCCCAACCAAACCCAAAATAACAATCACACACAAGTATGCATAATAAACGTGGTAAGTTATGCGTTAATGATAATTTTTCCATAAGGCCTATCACGGTGACTATTCCCTCTACCATCAAAAGGCATCCTTCAGACCAGACCACACAGGCTAAGGCCTTAGGATCCTTTTGCTTTCGGCGATCAAATCTTTATGGAACTGCACGAAACCGTTCCGGCGACCAAATCTTTATGGAACCGCACGGAACCCTTGCATCGTAATGCAACACACGGTCCTAGGCTGCAATCCCGTATCTCCGTGTCTTCGTGACATAACCAAAATCTTTATTGACTAAATCACGGATCAAGGGAATAAACCGTATTTATTCATATGTTTAAGATTTAACATTTTTTCATCTTCAACATTTTCACGCTTATGTTTCACATTTCAACAATCTTTGTCTTGTACCGTTGCTTCTCTCCCCATCTCATATACATCCTAAGCAGCATATCAGCCCAATCCTGCACTGGAAATTAT